ACAATTTTCGAATTATGCACAAACTTTGAAACTGTGATTTTTTTGAATTGTGCACAAATTTTAAATTAATAAAAAACGAGATAGAAACAAAAGAGAAAACAGAAACAGGAAAATGAGAGAAAAGAAAAAAAGAAAATAGAAAAAACAGAATAAAGAAACAAAAGAAAAAAACGGAAATAGGAAAATGAGAGAAGAAAATAGAAAAACAGAATAAAAACAATATGCTGGAAACCTCTAGAAGTTTCCCAAAACCAGAAAAACAGAAAATTATTTTAATTGTGCACCAATTCAAGGAACCTTCTAGAAGTTTCCCAAAACCAGAAAAAAAACCAGCTGGAAACCTCTAGAAGGTTACCGGGGGTGTTGGAATGGTTAAACGGGCCGGCCCGTTTCATCTGCTCGGTCACTCACCTATGCGAAGCGCTGGCAGTTTGACGCAGCGAGCGGCAAATAGCATTTTCCTTGAAAAGTAGCACCCCTTCCCCATCCCCCCTCCCCCGGTGAGGGCAATCATTTTATTTTGTTTTGATAATATGTTTTCCTTGATGTGGGCCAATTGCTCGGCTGAGCCAAAATTTTCGAACTATGCTACACACAAACAAACATCTGCAAAATTTATTCTACTGGCCGGTGCTACAATCCGGGTAGCACAAGGACCAGCTACACCCATTGTACCTACCGAAGTCCTTTTTTTGAACATAGTACAGACGCAATTGCTCATATATACGCGCATACGCTCACCCCTATGAACGCACACAAGCACACCCTACCCCTATGAGCACCTCCTAAAGACTAAGCCGGCATATCATCTTGAAATTTACGAAGTCACTGTAGGCACCTCGTCATCGACGGGTACGTCTTCTCCCACTGAATGCGCATCGCCGGAAATCCTGAAATAAATCCAGGAATAAATGCGAGCACCAATACTTAAATCCTGGTGGGCAGGAGATACTACAGTCCCTCTAACCATCCAACAACAAGTTGGTTCGCAATGTACCTAACAAAGTTGAAGAGCATTACAATGAGACCTCCTCTCAAACACCTTAAGCGCCATGGGTGGTAACCGACGCTCACACACACCCCCTCATGGGCCGACCTACACAAGGAGGCAAGCGCTCGATCATAAAGCTCTGGTTTTCCTGGTTCCCTGATCGCGACTGACTAGTCGTTTTTGACCATTCACCTTTTCATACAAATGCATTTTTTAAACAAATTATGAATTAAAAAATATGTTCATGAATTCCAAAGAATTCAGGTTAAAAAAAAGTTCACGAACTCGAAAGATTTAACAAGTTCAAAAAAGTTTGCTGGATTCACAAAAAGTTTCAGGATCTCGAAAAAGTTCAGGAGATCAAGAAAGTTCACTGGTTCAAAGAGAATTGCGTGATAATTTTTTTTCATGGGTTTGAAAAAAGTTCAGGAGTTCAAAAAGTTTTGTGGATTTGAAAAAAAGTTCTTGCATTTGAAAACTATCACGAATCTAAAAAATGCTCACGTGTTGCATGGATTTGAAAAAATGGTAACAAATCTGGAAAACAATATTAACGGATTTGAAAAAAGTTCACGTATTTTAGCCACGAATTTAAAGAAACAAAATTCACAAAACAATTGCAAATTTGAGAAAATGTTCAATGAAAATATTTGAGGATTTGAAAAATGTTTTTGAATTTGAAAAGTTCATGCATTAAAAAAACTAAAAAGGAAAAAAGGAAAATGATGAAACCAATAATAACTCTCCAAAAAAGAAAAAAAAGCAAAAATCGGCCAAAAGCTTCTAGAAGCTTCTAGAAATTCACAAAATCAGGTAGTTTCGCTTCCGAAAAAAAGGGAAACCGTGCGCATGATAAAGGTTGAATACAATTTGCCTACACGACAAAACATTACGAAACCGGAAAAAAAGAGTTAGATGGGCCGACCCAAGGGGGAGAGGGGGTGTGCGCCTGTTTGCACAAACACCAACAACTGGCGCATAATGCGCCGAATTGGATTTGGCCATTGCAACTACAACAACGATTGGGTGCACCATATTTATGTTGTTCTTTTTTCCTGATTTTTTTTTCTTTAACCGGTTTTCTTGCGGTTTTAGTTGGCTTATTTCCCCTTTTCTACCCAGACTTTTCCTTTTTTATTCGTGAACTTTTCTAAAATTCATGAATATTTTAAATTAGTGCACGCTATTCCAAAATTTTGTACAATTTCTAGTTTTCTTGTCTTTCTTGAATCCAAGCATTTATGTATTTTTTTCCAAATTCAAGAATTGTTTAAACATATATTGTTATAATGTATAATTTATATTTTAAATCTTCCAAAAACTGGGTGAGTGCTATTTCATCCGTTTTTTTTCTTCTCATGAAGAGCTTCATCATTGGTCTTGGGTGAGGAGCGATCCCTCACTCAACCTAGACTGAAGATTGAGGTGAACGAGTTGAGTGAAATAGAAACATCATGTCTTCTTTTGGTAGTGTAGAAGATGTAGATAGGTTGATTTTTCGTGCATGGTAGTGAATCGGGTGAGGCTGCTAGAGACAGTATTTGGTTGAGGATCGATTTGTTTTTTATGGCAACATATATGTTTAGCAGACATGTGACTGCATCCTAGGAAAGGAAGGAGATGTGATTGAATCGACACTTATACAACTGGGTGGAGTTGAGTACAGTAAAAGAAAATAGAGAATCATCGGAAGATCCTTCAATCAGTGGGGTCCCGTGAGACGGAAAGTAATGAACAATGTACAAACTCCCCTTTAATAGTAGATACTCTTCCAGCAGCGTAGCTGTAGGGTGGCCAGGGTGGTCCATGGACCACCCTGAAATTCAGCCCATCAGTACACTACTAGTCTATAAAATGATGAAAAAGAAGCAAGCCCAACTCAGCCCATGTACACGTGAAGGATTGTCTTGTTAGTCTCTGCGTGTGCGCGCTGATTGATTGACACCACAGAAGACGTTCCTGATTCCCCTGGGACCCTAGCAGCAAGCGGCGAGCGCCATCAGCCATCGCCTAGCAGCCCCCAGCGGGCATCCACCGGCTTACAGGGCACTCGTCGACGGCGACGGACTGGCGGCCGGGCAAAGGACACTTGCCGGCCGCGCCAAACAGGCGGCCGAACGAATCACGCACGCACGCACAACCTAGGTAGATTGAGAACCATTGTTCAGCTTTCCATCCTACTACTCCAATCTAAAGTAAGATTTTTTGTTCTCTGTTAATTCATAAATTCAAGGTATAAATTTCTCGCTATGAAGATTTGAATAAGTTAATTTGAGACCTGAGAGTGCAAGATTTAGTTTTATATTTTCAATTGATAATTGATAAATAGAACTTTTATGGTCTGGAGAAGGCGTTATTCGGACAAATATGGTGTGTTATCTTCTTTTACACAAATTTAAGACTTAATAATGAATTTTATAATTATTTGAAAGACCTAGTTGATATATGTTTTTGATATATTCTGTATGCATATGTTGTTTTGTTGAATTTGTAGTGCAATTTTATTCTATGACAATTGGACCACCCTGGCATAAAATCCTAGCTACGCCACTGTACTCTTCCACCAACCTATCTCTGTTTCTCTATAAAGCAAAGGCTTGATTATCGTTGGAGAAATACAACCGGTGTATAGAGGGAATAGAGGGGAGGAAGGAGAGTCACGTGCGTGGGTTGTAGCGGACCATTTTCCTCCCCTCACGTGCGTGAGGGGAGGAAGGAGAGTCACGTGCGTGCGTGCGTGGCATGCTAAGCATGGGATGGAGGTTGACGAGGGTTGAGTGAAATGGAGACGTTATGTATTTTTTGGTAGTGTAGATTAGTAAAAAAAAATCAAGTGGAAGCTAGAAAATAACACAACCATAGTGCAAGGAAAGCTACGATATTTTCCTTGAAGAGGCTTTGGTCCGAGAGCAATAATGTACGTCAAGGAATTTGTGAATATTTTTGAAATTTTAAATTAAGGCTATTGAGGTCCTATCATTGCCCATTTTTCATATAATTTGGGATTACATATACATTTTTCAAAAAATGAGAAAAAAACATGACATGTAACTGAGGTTTGAAACTTCGCAAATAAATGTTGAAAATCTTCATGCATTTTTATATAATAGCTACAAAGCTACTTGCGTACTTAAATATGTTTTTTTTAAATTTTGAATGACGTTGTAATATACGTGTAGTATAAATTGAGTTATATCCATTAAAAGCCTAGAAATCCAACTAATGCCTAAAATATAGCGAATCAATACATAAAAATGCCAAACTTTGATCTTAAAAATGCAAAGTTGTTATGTTCAATGTAGATTAAATTTTCGTGTCTTGTATCTATAATTTTGAACACATTTCACATTGTTCCTTAATTTGGTTTTTCAAAAATATTAAAAATGGACATCATTTATTTGGTCCGTTGGATTTGAACCCTCAGGATTCGCGCTTCAATTTGTTGTTTCATGCAGGCTTCTTTTATTGAAAGAAAAATTATTTTTTTTAGGATTTTGATCTTTTGGAAAATTTATCATGTACGTCGTTTGATTAATTATTATAGGATTTGAACCCTTAGGCTTTTTCCCATAGGGATTGCATTGCACTATGTCTAAACGAACTTTCTTTTTTTACAACTATACTTTGTTTTTCCTGTGAGATTCCAAACAGTCTTTAATGCAAATTTCCGTGGCTTTCCAACCATACAGTATTCAACACTACATTTTTTTTTTGCGAGAAGTATTCAACACTACATAACACTCTAATCATATATTTTTCTTAGTGCTAGTGGCCAATTTTGCAAAAGCATCTGTGGACGATTAGCTAGGACTGCGGTTCGACAAACAAATTGGCCAGCACCACCGCTGGCGTGCCCACGTTGTGCCAGTCGGTGGATCCAGCTACAGGATGCGGCATTGGCGGGCGAGATTAGAGATTAGCAGAGTAGTTGTTTGTTTATTCTTAAGCCAACTTGAACACCGTCTTCTTCTGCCCATGTTTCAACCTCGCTCATCATTAAACGGTCAGGATGCACAAGCTCGTATGCGCTGCCTTGCTTCTGCTCCTCTCCCTCTCGCGGTCCAAGCCGGTGATCTCTTCCCCCTCCGGCGCCCCTCGCTACCAGTCCATCTTCAGCTTCGGCGACTCCTTCGCAGACACGGGCAACAACCCCGTCGTCTTCGGATGGTACTCTGTCTTCGACCCCGTCACGCGGCCTCCCTACGGCACCACCTTCTTCGGCCGCCCCACCGGCCGCAACGGCGACGGTCGGCTCATCATCGACTTCATTGGTATGTGCATGCTCCGGGCAAGCCACTGGAAAACGCAGCAGTCATAAATTTTATGATTTTGAATTTGTGGGAGCAGCTGAAAACCTGGGCCTGCCGTATGTGCCGCCCACCTTGGCGCACAACAGCAGCTTCCGCCGAGGTGCCAACTTCGCCGTTGGAGCCGCCACCGCCCTAGATGCCGGTTTCTTCCACGAGAGGGACATCCCCAGTGGCTCCAGCAAGTTCCCCCTCAACACCAGCCTAGGCGTGCAGCTGGAGTGGTTTGAGTCCATGAAGCCTACATTGTGCCGCACACCTCGAGGTTACAATTACAATATTCATGGGCATCCGTAGCTATCATTACTTTCATTATCCAAGTCAACGCTTGATGAGAACTCAAATGATATGCATCTGGCGTCCAGAGTGCAAGAAATTCTTGGGCAGATCCCTCTTCTTGGTGGGCGAGTTCGGAGTCAACGACTATCACTTCTCTTTCCAACGGAAAACGGTGCACGAAGTCAGATCCTTCGTTCCAGATGTTATCGCTACCATCTCCATCGCCATCGAGGTACTTTCCTGCTCTTGCTCTTATGCAGTCATGATTCATGAAGCTCTACAAGAGCTTAGAAAATGAGAATCCACACCTACAAGCGTGAAGATTTATCTCTACTCCCAAGCTGGTACACCTCTTATCTAGACCATCCAATTTTGCATCAGAATTCATGCTTACAAACTTCTCTTTTTCATTTCTCCCATATGAGAAAACATTTGAACCTGAAACATTGCACATCAACATCACACAAGTATTACTATGTGCAGAATTGTTTTTCTTTTTGCGCAACAGAAATATATAAAACGATAAAACTTATTGCAAATTTATGTTGCATCAAAACATTTTGTGCATCGACTGGTTCTTATGCAAGTTCGGCGCACTCTAGTGCTTTTACTCGTCGTTAGGTGGTCTACGGACCTGGATGTTACTTCTGATAGTCTTTGTGCTACCTTGATAGTTGATGAATAGATCGAAAGTTTTTCTCGCAAAAAAAAAGTTCTCATGTATGAGAGAAACGAAAAAGAGAAATTTCAATATAAAAATAGCACAGATGGTGCAAAGATGAATGATCCAAATAGAAGGTGTAGCTACATGCGAGTACAGAAAATCCACACCTACAAGCACCCATGCTAAACTAATTGTTGGACTCAACAGAGGCTGATCAAGCATGGAGCAAGAAGCCTGCTGGTTCCCGGCGTGATCCCGTCCGGATGCTCGCCGCCCATCCTGACCAAGTTTGCCAGCGCCCCACCGTCAGCATACAACTCCAAAACCGGCTGTCTGACAGCGCACAACGAGCTGGGGCTGTACCACAACGCTCTGCTGCAGGCGGCTCTCACCAAGCTCCGGGCCAAGCACCGCAACGTCAAGATCATCTACGCCGATTTCTTCGGCCCGATCATGGAGATGGTGGAGTCACCGCACAAGTTCGGTTAGCATCACCAACTCTGCTGGAAGAATCTAAATTAGGTGCTTAGCACATAGGCAAAATGTCATCGTGGAAGGTGGTTGACGTTGATGGATGGATGATTGCAGGTTTTGAAGAGGACGTGCTTATAGTGTGCTGTGGAGGGCCCGGAAGGTACGGAATGAGCTCGACTGTTCCATGCGGCGATGCAGCCGCGACGACGTGCCGGGATCCGTCTGCTCGGCTGTACTGGGACGGCGTCCACCTGACGGAGGCGGCTAACCGGCATGTCGCCAATGCCTGGCTGGGCGAGATCAACGCGTCCACAGGAGTCAGCCGCAAGCAGGGTGCAAAGGAGCCATGTCGACTGGGTCGTCACAGAATATAGGGGCCGAAATAGTGATGAGGTAAGTGAGCCGAAAGATAATTTATCCAGTAGATAGTTTGACACACAGCGTGGCCAAGTAATTTGTTACCTGAAGGGATGAACCTGCAGGGTCACGGGAGTAGTGATTCAAGTTTTAATTGTTTACTGTCGTTGTTTTAGAGTCCTGTCATTTTCTTTTCTGTGAAATCCAGGTTCAGCTTCATGTTTGTGTTCATGGTCCGACGTCTTATTCTCGTGTAGCGCACGGGTGAGCTTTCTTTGAAGCTTTGTTTGTGAGGTTCTGGGTCCGACTGGCAAGCCCTGGATCTCACAGAGTTTATTCAAACCCGTGCTAACCAGATATACGAACTTCTGACTATATCTTCAAATTCCCTTGCATTTTTGTAGCATTGACACCTGCTCTCTAGACAGTGGGATCGCGACTAACTTGGTCATAAAATGGACGTGATAACTGCTGACGCATGTCATCTCACTTAGCCGCAGATTTCCCGATCTACTGGCCATTTGGTGGTCTTTTTCACTTTCTTTTCATAGTTGAACTTGTCGCATATAATTGCTTTATTTATAAAGCAGGAGGAAAGTTTATTTATATAGCCCAAAAGGCACGCAATTTGAGAACGATTTGTATTCGCGTGAAAAAGCATGGCCATTTATAAAATGTTAATGTATTTAATCCGTGTGCATTGCAGTCGAGTGATTTGTCAAGCACAATTCTAGATGTATCTTTTCAGTCCTGTAAGGTAGGTGTTTTCGTGCCTTGTAACTTGATCTTTATTCTATAAATAAGACACGTATTACCATGCAAATGAAAAAACATAGTTCTAGATGATGCTCTGCTACACAATGCTGATATAATGGTCAATTCTAGATGCTTCACTGTTGCACATTGCAGTCGAGCGATCCACCATCAGCTCACCACTTGCAGCAGGATGGATCTAGGAGGTGAAGCCCTGAGCCGCCACGACCGGGCGTCATGGCTGGCAACCACACTGCCCCCACAGCCTTGGCTGTACAGCCACCGCCGAGAGCCCTTGGGACCATAGCCCTAATCTGCCAACACACGTGGCACCTAGGGACGTGATATTGTAATTGTGGTAAGTGTATTGGTCACCAACCATCTATCATGTAATTTTCGTAACTAATACATTTCTTATCAACTAAAATCTCATTTATTTCCACACAAATAGCAGTCCACCTACTACACAATTAAGGAGACACAGGTCCAACTTCCTCCATACTACCCAATACTTCCAACTCCTCTTGGAGCTCTTTTCTCCTCTTTTTGGAATGCCCAAACTTATTGGAACTCCAACCTTTAAGAAAATTACTAAATATTTTAAGCTTTATGTTAATGATATTGGAATCCTCATATCTTACACGCTTGTTCCAAATTTTACTACCCAAAAGAAGAAACTCATCATTCTTAACCTAGCTCAACAAAAATATAAATTCATTTATCTTAGGTGATGTCTTGACATAGTTCCCAGAGGGTAATATTAGAGCATTTTGAGCAGATACACATCAAACCACATTTCTCGAATGAACTAAAGGAAATAAATCCACCCACTCACTAGACATAAGGATCTTGTCTAATTTCTCGAGAGTAGCATGGGGTTGCTTATTAGGCCATGTATAGATTATTCCACTAATATAGAACTCCCTTAGAGCAAGAGTAGGAATAGTAGAATTGAAAAAAATCAGTAAAAGGACAATGATGCATTTTCTAAGTCTTATCACCATTATGTCCAACGATATTGAAGTCTCCACCAACACTACATGTATTGAGATACACTTAGTAATGTGGGGATCCATGATGAGATCCGTCAGAAATTGTACGTGGCGGCCTCACACATGACCTGCACATGTATTTTAGAATATATAACATATTACATGGACAGTTACTAAGTATTTTGTGCTTAATGTCCTCCGTTGGGAAGTTGAAATACATTCGAATCTGAGGCCTTATCGTAGTAGTTACAACACATGTAGGACATATAATTTATTCATACATATTGGCTTATAAACCGTTCGCGCACATGTCGCTAGTTCAGGTTTTAATGCATCACCTTCTTCAGAGAGACCACGATGCTGGGCAACTTGGCATTCCGTTTCTCAAGATGTTTTGCAACGACGCAGGCATACACCGCAAACAACTCATCAATAATGCCCTCGCCGAAGTGGCCAGCAATAAGTGGCTCTAACACTGATCTGATGGTCATGGAGAGGTTTCTCCCACTGCTGGCAGGGTCAAGCACCATGTGCTCGTCGTCAGAATCATCATCTTGAGGGTCCCAATTGACTTCGACCATCCCCACATGCTCAATGTCGAATAGCTCTGTGTGGTTGACCACTGCCTTCACCTCCTCCACTGATGGGGCGTAGAGTGGCAGGTTGAATGAGTCAAGTTTTTCTTTTTCCACGCGACCCTGCAATGGACCAGTAACCACGGTAAGACTTGATATAGAATTCATGTCAAATAAATATAGAATATCATAGCGATTGTTTCCACGCCATGCGTTTCAGCACAAGCTAAAGGCATTTTTGTATTACATAAGGTTATTTATGAAATGCAAAATACCAAAAGGCTTTAGTATCAATTCTACGAGAGATCGAGATTCACAAGAACAAAACCACTACTATGTATTTTAGGGTGAATAGGAATGATCTATGCTTAGACGATTTTAGTGTCTAATCATAACCGAATATTAAACTTGAAAATAACACAGGCATGCCGACTATACCTTGAGGACAAGTGACTGGAGAGATTCAGAAAGCAATTCCCACACGGTGCCAATTTCCCCATGCGTCAGCATTTCTTCGCTCTTTCGTCCCAGAAGCATCAAAAACATTCGCCCACCACTTATCAATTCTTTTGAGCGCAGTGTAAGGAACAACTCAAAGTCAATTTGAAACTGTTCTCTGAATAGATTTGCTATTGAATGCGGAGTAGTCTTTCCAATATGGATGTTTCCTTCATTTATATAGTTGCCACTTGAGAGTTGGTCAGGCACCTAAGACATTTAGTACAATCAAACGAGACATTATTTAGTAAACCTGAGATCAAATGGGAAAAACTGTGCATGATTATAAGCACGAGATTTTAGAGTGGGACTAATCAATCTACAAAAAAATATCGTAGAGCATGTATACTGTTACATGTAAAAATGAGGAACATACATTACCATTCGTAAAACTAATAATAATTCGCAGTAGTATGAATACTATTTACTAATTTGATACACTATATATGACTATATTATCATAATGTTTTGCGTGTACATAATCATGTCCTAAGACCATCTCCAATGGTGTGGAAAAAGCTTCGTTTGATACACTAGAGCATGGTGAATTAACCAAGTTGTTGTTCGAAGGGATTAGTGTGTCGGTGGCAATGCTAGTTCGTCCATATGTAAGAGATGAGAGAGGGGAAAGAGGAACACGCATAAATAAGCGATCATGCACGGCGCATGACTAGTGTAGTGTCAAAAACGTTCTTATATTATGGGATGGAGGGAGTAGACTCCTAACTAACGTAGAACCAATTAAACCGCATTACCACAATAGTTATTCCTTACTTGGCAAGTCAATTATTTTCATGCATCTTACTCCTTCCAGTAAAGAAATAACATGGTCATTTTGTACAAAGTTTTTGGATGTTTAAAAGTATGGCCCTGTTAACTAAGCTAGGTCCCTTCTTTTTTATGGTATTATAGATAACCTTTGCTATGCTTTCTCGTGGAGAGAAAACTAGAATGATAAACACTGGATGATGCTTGAATATAAGTGTATGATCAAGTGTGGATGAGTACTGTTTTGTTGCAATCTGATGTTTAGTTTAGGCTGGAACATAATTTAGTATGACAAGTGTGCAATCATGCGTGTACCTTGGAGAGCCAATGGAGGCTGTAGGACGAGTGGAAAAGATGGACGCTCTGGCTAGGACAAAGCCTGTTGTAGAACGATCCGGGTAGCCCGACGACATAGTACGGTGGCGTCACCGCCTCATCGCCCTCCCCTTTCCTGGTGACAGTATGGAACTGATCAAGCGACTGGAAGATGAGGTTGAAATCGTTCTTGGGCAAGTCATTCAGGAGAAACTGCAGCTCCACGCCACGCTGTTCGTTTGTGTTCTGGTTGTAGTCAGAGATCATGCCGGTAACCTCGGCGACGATGAAGAGAGCGTTCGGGCCCGATGAGCAGCCGAGGTCAGCGACGACCATGGTGCTCGCAGGGGAGAGCGAGGTGTATACCTCTTGTACGGTCCTTTGAAGCAATGGCCTGTTCTTCAGCATGGCCTTCATCTGCGAAAAGCATGTATAAAGAGGTGCTACGCATAGCTTGATTACATGAAAGAAAGAAAGAAAGAAAGAAACGAGTGCAGGATGCTAGTTTGGATACAAACTGGGATCCTGGAGTTGGCGGCGTAGCTATTCTCTCCGTCGCCGGTAGCCATGTGGAGGACGTCCTCTACCTTCATTGTCGTTGATCGCCGGTGGTGTTCCTCTGTTGATCGCCGGCTCTTCTTTATATAGAAGGTAGGCCAGTTACACTGTTGCGTACTGGTTAATTACGAGCAATTAAATAATTTCGGGTCTGTGTCAGAGGGCAACTGGTATGCAATCACGGGTGAATCGTCGCACGTGCCCATATGACTTGCGTTTCTATAGCGAAAGGCTGGGCGATCCTTCTTGCCTTCGTCGTGATGCATCATGTTCGGACGTCAATAGAATCGATGAGAATCATGAGGCATGTTCGGAAGAGCTGGAAATCTGGAATGCATCTCCGATCGTGTAGTTAACTAGAATCATGAGCTGGACTGGAATGGATGTTCGGCTCACCAAGTCCAAGACCATGCATGTTTGAATATATGATTATCACACATGTCGGTGTCCCCCGTGACTCACGCTTTGTTCGATTGGTGTCATGTGATGGATCGATTTGCGTGGTCAAATTGATATATAGTAGGCCTTCCACTGCTACAATTTTTATATTTTCCAAGT